GCATTTTGGTTATTCAGAAGAAGTTGTTTAAAGTTTTAAATATATTTGACCCATGTGACCTTGAATATGGGTGAAGGTCATTAGTTTTAACACACTTTGTAGCCCTTTATCTCAGCATGCTACTGGCCAAATATCATCCCCCTGGGCATTTTGGTTATTGAGAAGAAGTTGTTTCAAGTTTTTAACATATTTGAACCCTGTGATCTGGAATATGGGTGAAGGTCATTCATTTGAACAAACTTTGTAGCCCTTCATCTCAGCTTGCTACTGGCCAAATATCATCACCCAGGGCATTTTGGTTCTTGAGAAGAACTTGTTTAAAAATTTTAACAAATTTGACCCCTGTGACCTTGAATATGGGTGAAGGTCATTCATTTGAACAAACTTTGTAGCCCTTCATCTCAGCATGCTACTGGCCAAATATCATCACCCTGAGCATTTTGGTTATTCAGAAGATGTTGTTTTTCAAGTTTTAAATATATTTGACCCCTGTGACCTTGAATATGGGTGAAGGTCATTCATTTGAACAACCTTTGTAGCCCTTCATCTCAGCATGCTACTGGCCAAATATCATTACCCTGTGCATTTTGGTTATTGAGAAGAAGTTGCTTAAAGTTTTTAACATATTTGAACCCTGTGACCTGGAATATGGGTGAAGGTCATTCATTTGAACAAACTTTGTAAGCCTTTCATCTCAACTTGCTACTGGCCAAATATCATTACCCTGTGCATTTTGGTTATTGAGAAGAAGTTGTTTAAAGGTTTTTTAATACAATTGACCCCTGTGACCTTGTAATTGACGGTCATTCATTTGAACAAACTTGTTAGCCCTTCACCCAAGCATGCTACTAGCCAAATATCATCTCCCTGGGCATTTTGGTTATTAAGAAGAAGATGTTTGAAGTTTTTGACATATTTGACCCCTGTGACCTTGAAAATAGGTGAAGGTCATTAGTTTTAACAAACTTTGTAGCCCTTTATCTCAGCATGCTACTGGCCAAATATCATTACCCTGTGCATTTTGGTTATTGAGAAGAAGTTGTTTAAAGGTTTTTTAATACAATTGACCGCTGTGACCTTGTAATTGACGGTCATTCATTTGAACAAACTTGTTAGCCCTTCGCCCAAGCATGCTACTAGCCAAATATCATCTCCCTGGGCATTTTGGTTATTGAGAAGAAGATGTTTAAAGTTTTTGACATATTTGACCCCTGTGACCTTGAAAATAGGTGAAGGTCATTAGTTTTAACAAACTTTGTAGCCCTTCATCCAAGTTTGCTTCTGGCCAAATATCGACACCCTAGGCCTTTCGGTTATTAAGAAGAAGTTGTTTAAAGTTTTTAACATATTTGAACCCTGTGACCTGGAATATGGGGGAAGGGCATTCATTTGAACAAACTTTGTAGCCCTTCATCTCAGCTTGCTACTGGCCAAATATCATCACCCAGGGCATTTTGGTTCTTGAGAAGAAGTCGTTTAATTTTTTTAACATATTTGACCCCTGTGACCTGGAATATGGGTGAAGGTCATTCATTTGAACAAACTTTGTAGCCCTAAATCTCAGCTTGCTACTGGCCAAATATCATCACCCAGGGCATTTTGGTTCTTGAGAAGAAGTCGTTTAATTTTTTTAACATATTTGACCCCTGTGACCTGGAATATGGGTGAAGGTCATTCATTTGAACAAACTTTGTAGCCCTTCATCTCAGCTTGCTACTGGCCAAATATCATCACCCAGGGCACTTCGTGCCAGGTGAGCTAAAAAGGATCAGACAGAAAATATAAATGCAAACATAGTAAATGTAAAAGCATGTGCAAAGGGTGATACTATTACATTCCACTGACAACAAGTGTCATATCTGGAGGCAATAAACAGGGATAAAGCTTGGGGATGGAAAGACTTACAATGGCATGAGCTTGTCAACTCAGCCTGCTTTACATCGACAATGTTATAATTCTGAGTTACCCAAATGCTTTTAATTTATAAATACCCATAAGATATCTGTCTATTTCAATCACTGTCACTTAAGACCTTTTCTAAATTCATATCAATCAAACACTCTAGAGACCCAGTCCTTTCTTTAAAATAACAGGCATACATTTGCAAAGTGCAAGTACATGAATGTTCACAGAACTATAATGTACAATGGCAATATCTGTAAAATTCTGAATTTTTGGTTTGGTGATTTATACATTTTCCAGCAAAATCACTGCAATAAATTCTGCTTGAGAGAGATCTCTCCTTTTGATTACTAGACCACTTGTTAAGAGTCTACTTTTAAAACTTTCTTCACTGCATGAATTTTTGCATCAATAACGGAACCAAGAGACCACTTTATTAGCTTACCAAAGGTGGTCTCTCAATACAGGTTTTACTGATGTATAACAGTCTGAAGTAAAAATACATATATCCCATATGTCACCTGGGGTTTTACTCTATTTATTCATTAATCAATGTTAGGCTGTCATATACAGTGTTAGTACAAAGCTTTCACAGACAACTTCAGCAAGACAAAAATAAAATCCAGTGATTTTTTTTCAATCAGTTTTACAGCCGAATACAGGCTGTTTCCCCTAGCTAAAAAGTGCCTTATTTTTCCCAAAATGACCCAAAATGAGGAAAATATTCCCATTTTCAATAAAAATAATGCTTTATTTTCCCACTTCATTAAGGAACAGGCCGATGTAAAATTGAGATAAACACTGAATCAGAAGACGCAATTCTGTAAGTGCTCAGGAAAAATAGCACACCTATGTCATACCATTGGTGATCCTTTGTCAGATGTTTGTATATATCTATTAGTGCTCTCTTGTTTTATTACAGAATCTCCTCAGTCAGAAGTTTCATTATTCCTGTTCAGTGGAAAAGGAAGAACATCTTTTTTATAGCCGGACTTATTACCTTTATACTCATCATCAACAAAATCCTTGATAAACTGTACCCAAACAATTGATTCGAGGAGAGATTGGCCAACAAGTTAATATTTTCCCAGAAATCAGAAAGAGAAGGCGATCAGAAAGCAATGGAAATCAGAAGAAGATGAGTGGAAGAAATCTTTGCTACTATTTAAAAATTGTTATTATTAGAAGTATTATATTTAATAAATTAATTTCATAAAATTCCCAAACCTTAACTAGAGTTCTTATCATAGGCACACAGCACACAAATACAAAATAGGATCATTTTAATTTTTGAAAGTATAGTGAGAGTTAATCATTATCCAGTAATTTAATTAACCCTTTCACCACTGTAGACCATAATAGACTCATCCAGATCAATGCATGGTAGAGTCTACTAAAGTTACATAGGGGTGAAAGGGTTAAACTTTTACCACACCTTGATTAACATATGTTATAGCAATAATAGGAATAGGAACACTTTTTGTACAGTACATAATATTGTGTCCCTCTCCCACAGTTTTTACCAGCTATTTTGGGAGAGGGCCCCTGAGCAGGAATTGGGAAAATATCATCGGCATTTGGCAAAAATTGGGAAATATCATCAGTGTTCCCACATGCACAGGTTTGGGAAATATCATCAGTGTTCCCACATGCACAGGTTTGGGAAATATCATCAGTGTTCCCACATGCACAGGTTTGGGAAATATCATCAGTGTTCCCACATGCACAGGTTTGGGAAATATCATCAGTGTTCCCACATGCACAGGTTTGGGAAATATCATCAGTGTTCCCACATGCACAGGTTTGGGAAATATCATCAGTGTTCCCACATGCACAGGTTTGGGAAATATCATCAGTGTTCCCACATGCACAGGTTTGGGAAATATCATCAGTGTTCCCACATGCACAGGTTTGGGAAATATCATCAGTGTTCCCACATGCACAGGTTTGGGAAATATCATCAGTGTTCCCACATGCACAGGTTTGGGAAATATCATCAGTGTTCCCACATGCACAGGTTTGGGAAATATCATCAGTGTTCCCACATGCACAGGTTTGGGAAATATCATCAGTGTTCCCACATGCACAGGTTTGGGAAATATCATCAGTGTTCCCACATGCACAGGTTTGGGAAATATCATCAGTGTTCCCACATGCACAGGTTTGGGAAATATCATCAGTGTTCCCACATGCACAGGTTTGGGAAATATCATCAGTGTTCCCACATGCACAGGTTTGGGAAATATCATCAGTGTTCCCACATGCACAGGTTTGGGAAATATCATCAGTGTTCCCACATGCACAGGTTTGGGAAATATCATCAGTGTTCCCACATGCACAGGTTTGGGAAATATCATCAGTGTTCCCACATGCACAGGTTTGGGAAATATCATCAGTGTTCCCACATGCACAGGTTTGGGAAATATCATCAGTGTTCCCACATGCACAGGTTTGGGAAATATCATCAGTTTTGAGAAATAAAATCTACAATGGGATATTTTCCAGTAAAATGTGTAGCAATAAATAAACACATCAATTTTCAGTGTATTAATTTATTCAATTTAAAAATTTCTGTTATTGATGTATTTTGAATGCTCTTTCATGGGCGGTAATACTTTGAACATTGCACATACACAATGTATAACAGCTGGAAACTCGTATAAACATGCTTTATTTTCATCTAATTGGGAAAATAAAGACTGCAATTGGGAAAATATAGGGTAATTTTTCAATTGGGAATGGGTCCCCGTACCGGACCCTATAAACACCTGGCAAAAACCTTGTCTCCTGATCCTTCAATCTAATAGAAATAACACGCTCAACAGCTCATTTTCTTAAACATGTCAGCAAAAAATTGTGATGTTTCTTTCAGCTCTCAAATCATTAGGACTCGAGAGATGAAGTCAAAAGTTTCATTTTGCAAATGTTTAAAAAGAGTTTGTGAAATCCTCCTGTTAGATTTCCAGAAGTAACTATATAGTTAATTTCTAAAATGAGCTAAAACAAGGAAATGTGCCAGCTTTAAGATTAGTGTACAAATGTAGGTATGGGGAAAGTTCACACAGATTTTTTTGGCATATGAGAATATAATAGCATATTAATTCAAGATTTTAAGGCAAAACTCTTCAATGATTTTTAAGATTGCATGGCTGATTATATATAATTTGAATAGATTTATTATTTTATGTTATAGTAAGTACCAACTAAAATGGTGTCATCAACATCAAATTAATCAGCAGGTATAACATAGTGTTTGTTTCCAATTTTCTATTTTCGGACACCAAAACATAAATTTGAAGTGTATAACTCATCGACCCCTGGAGACACATTTGAGCTCTTCCAATTCAAAGGTTGGAATAGTTCATTATAAAATGTCAGGGGTGAATGAGATAATATTGGTATTGGTGAAAGGTAAATACTGTGTGGGTTCAGCAGCAGGGTAATTTCTATGGTTCTGTTAACCAAGTAAAATCACAATACTTAGGGTTTCTGAATTAAAATGAGCAATCAAAATATGTATTTTATTATGATATTAAAATGTTCATAGATGATAATAAATCTTTTATCATATATTTGTTCATAGATTATAAAAAAACATAGCATTTTTTCCAGATGTCTATAAATAGTTTTAGTTGTATTAGCAAAACATATAAACACAGAGTTTCAGGAATGACCTGTTATATACCTCGCGGCTAATCAACCTACATTTGCTGCTTGCACTTTACCACGACCTCGTCAAGTGTCTCGACAGTGAGTCTAGCTGCAGCACTAATTCCGTCAAGTCTGAACGCTGCTGTCAATCTCTTTGAAAGTGCCTTTAACACTGGACAAGAAAAAAATAATAGAAAAACGTTGTAATTACATTGTAGGTCTTCAGAATGTTTCTAAGGTGTGGAGAAATACAATGTTAGCTCAGACCATCATTTTAACCAAGGACTCAAAAACGAATGCTAGTCGTTTCGGTAACAAGTCGTTTCGGGAGTCCTGAAATTGTTTCGGAACTTATATATATAATCAAGTCGTTTCGGGACATATACAATTTTCACTTATAAATAACATTTTGCTCCCGTTTCATAAAAAGTCATGTAAATACACAAGTAGGGTTTTAGTCTATGACCTGTATCACGACCTACGTATACCCGTGCTTGGGATCATATTATAGTGTTCACAGATTGCTAGTGCTACACATACCCAAACGAGAACACGCTGCTAAAGTTGAGAAAGTTAAGCGACCCACGCTCAGTGCCGCAGGATCTAGCGAGGAGTGGGCATATTTCCAATCTCGGTGGGCGGACTATGTCAGTGACACGAAATAGGGCAAAACTCAAGTCACAGTTAAATCATATATGGGTCAATACCTACCAACATTTACCCGATTGACCTGATGAAACTAATCTCATTAAAAAATACAGATCTAGAGGAACTTATGATATTCAACATCAATTTCTTTCATTACTGATAGGTTAATTCCTTCGTTTGATATTGTAATATGTTTTCATTTATTCACTTTATTCTCCGTTATTGTTATTGACATTAAGAGACGAATGAGTTAACATTGATTCTAATAATGTTTTACGCATTTTATTTTTGCTATATTGAAATTAAATTTCTTGAAAGTAAAAATGTGAAACACATAGAATATATTTTAGACATGGTGAATCAATTCATCAAATCCAGCAATATAGTTTGAACGATGTTTTTATGTTGTGTAGTTGTGTCTGTGTGAATATTAACATTTATTCATGTGTTATTAAAATCATGTAATGGTAAATGTATGAAGGGAGAAGGTTTTAAGCTATGATAAGTTAATTGTTATGATTTTTATCAAATAGTTGTCTGAATTTAGTTGACATTAAAATATGTTTAAAGAAAAAAGACAATGGTATCTACAGAAAAATTCAAAACGACTTTTGACATGTCCCGAAACGACCCGAAAAAAGTCCCGAAATGACTTTCATCTTGTTACCGAAACGACCTGACACCTCCAAAACTGACTCTCGATCTATCAACTGACTTCTTCTTCCGTCTTCTTCTGACGATACATTGTATAAGATATCCCCAGTCACTCATGATGATTAAAGTTGTAATTATAACCCAGTCTAGATACACAACATTCTTTCGGTTTTTCATAATTTGTTTCAGCATTAAGACATGCAGCTGACGCCAAAACATTGGTCACCTGGTTTCAATGCATATATAATCTTAGGATGCCATTTAACAGGGACAGACAATGCAAGAGCTTCGTTAGTTAAGTGACCCAATAAAATCAAAAATCCAGTCTTTTTTAACTGTCAAATACATTTTTGAATTAAATTAGTTTTGACCACGCATAAATTCGATCATGTTGATCCTTTTTCAGACTGAACCATTTGAAACGATTGAACCGGTTAACTGAAGGAGTCCAAATTTGCACATTAATTTGTCATAATGGACTTGGCCTACTAGAGAATATGGAAAGCTTTTTTTCAAACCCTACACATTTAAACCCCAGTGTTGGTCTAATGATCGTCAACAAGGTGTTTAGTTATTAGTTCAGCTGCATTTGTAATTCACTGACTGATATATCGATGATGCATACCGGTGACTTACTGTACATGTCATTTACCGACTGAAATTTAAGGCATTCTTGAATGCTGCCATTCGAAATATTTCACTTACCATTTTCAGTTTGTTTGATGAAACTGTTAATTTAAGCGAAACAATTAAAAAGCCTCGACAGACATCGAAGGCCAGTAATTGATGTCTTCTTCACATTCCCTGTGCCAACACCTCTCTTTCTCGTCTCTCGTTTCCGGTAAGAGCATTGTGTGTACACGTCATCAAATATTGAGATCCTGTTCAAAGGTCGTGACGTTTAAAACAAAACAAAGAGCACATGCTTGCATAATTTTACACCACTTCCATGTACATGTACGTTATTTAATTATTTTCGTCGCCGACACAAATGGTATATTTGTCTAATTAGTCGTTAATTGAGTCTTAAAAGAGTTATTTTTTAAACAAATGCTGTTCTAAATAAGATTTGTATTGAATGTGCATTTTCATCCTATTTTCACGTACAAATTCATCATTGATTTGCTGACAGCAGACTTCAGATTGTGCTATGCAGCTGTCTGTCAGGACGGGTTCTTTGATCAAGGGCGAAAGCTGATGTTATTTATATATACCTTTGCAGTTAATAATCCGGTTTTAGTTGTCATGCAATTTATGTATATGTCACTATAGCTAATTAAGGTCACAATGGTTGCTTCACAAATAACGGTAATGATGATGGTTGTGAAATGCAAAAATGAATTTTATAATCAGGTTGATACCAGGAAAGATCGTTTGCAAGCTTAAGGACAATAAACGGCCAGAGCTTGTCAGGACTACAGACAGTGTACAGACATGTCCTTCTTCAGGAATACTATTTGGTTCATAAAGGGCATGAAAGAATACACAAAGTAAGTATTCACAGGAAATATGTAATTAGTCCGGAGTGATGTGACAATATTACTTTCCCCCAGTGATAATAATACATTGATGACATCATTGTGTAATATGTTGTAGAGTTGTCATCATTAAGATTGTTTGGGGAATTCAAAGAAATTAATTTGTAAAAATTTCAAAATCAGAAAAGGATGCACACAAGCAATTATATGATCCCTTTGAGAGAAAAAAATACAGTAAATGCTGTGTGAATTTTAATTAAAAGAAACTTTGCTGTTTTCATAACAAAGAAAATCTTGTGAAATATCAAAATAGGAGACAAAGAAAATCTTGTGAAATATCAAAATAGGAGACATAATATTAAGTACATGTATAATGCTCTAATTTAATTTAATTGATGTACAATTAAATATTGTGTAATATCATTATGTACAACATTAATTTTGTGCTGTAGATCTGTTGGTATACAATTATATATATATATATATATATACACATCCAAATATAGCTCTCTGGTCATTTAAATACATAAATACATGTTCTCTGATTCTGCTTGATTTACTCTCAACCATTACAGGTTTTTGATGATATTATAACATGCATGTAAAATGTAGGCTATATGCTACAGTTCTAGCTTTATATATATAGCGGCTAGCTATATACTTTATATATATATATATATAGCAGCTAGCTATATACTTTATATATATATAGCGGCTAGCTATATATTGTATATTTATATAGCGGCTCGCTATATAAACTTCATATATATAGCGGCTTGCTTTATAAGTTATATATAGCGGCTAGCTATATGCTATATATATATATATCAGCTAGCTAGATACTTATATATATATATATAGCTGCTAGCTATATGCTATATATATAGCGGCTATCTATATACTGTATATATATATAGCGGCTAGCTATATACTGTATATATATATAGTGGCTAGCTTTATACTTTATATATATATATAGCGGCTAGCTAGATACTTTTTATTTATATAGCGGCTAGCTATATACTTTATATATATATATATAGCGGCTAGCTATATACTTTATGTATACATAGCGGCTAGCTATATGCAATACACTATACTATAATAGTACCTGTAACTTTGTATAATAATCAACAATTTATATATTGTAAATCAATTTTCAGAAATATATGTAAAATAATATTGGAAATACTGGACTTGTGTTAGTCTTCTTAAGGTACTGTACGTGTATGTGTTGAAAATTATAGCTCAAATAAGATGCCATTGTATATATCACAGTCAATTAATTATGTACAATAACATGGGTCATGTTGGAACCTATGATATATATAAATACTGACAGGAACAAAAATCAATCCCTTGTCCCAAAATTTAACTAACAATCCTCCATGTATACACATACTGTCATACAATGCTAATGCATATATACACACAGATATCATAAAACGAACCAGAAATTAGCTAAATCAGTTTAAGGCCTAATAATATGTCTTTTCGCTATGGACCCAGTCTTTTGGCCTATATCTACTGTACCCTTTATACATGTATGATCTTTTAGGATGGGTCTGATATCGATCATGATGGATAAAAAAAGAGACTGGAGTCTGAATTGCTGTCTCTATATAACCTAACCTAGCAGGAGTCTGACTTCCTGTCTCTATATAACTTAACCTCGCAGTAGTCTGAATTGCTGTCTCTATATAACTTAAGCTAGCAGGAGTCTGACTTGCTGTATCTATATAACCTAACCTAGCAGGAGCCTGACTTGCTGTCTCTATATATCTTAGCCTAGATGTAGCAGGAGTCTGACTTGCTGCCTCTATATAACTTAACCTAGCATAACTTAACCTAGCAGGAGTCTAACTTGCTGTCTCTATATAACTTAACCTAGATGTAGCAGGACTCTGACTTGCTGTCTCTATATTACTTAACCTAGCAGGAGTCTGACTTGCTGTCTCTATATAACTTAACCTAGATGTAGCAGGAGTCTGACTTGCTGTCTCTATATAACTTAACCTCGCAGGAGTCTGAATTGCTGTCTCTATATAACTTAACCTAGCAGGAGTCTGACTTGCTGTCTCTATATAACCTAACCTAGCAGGAGTCTGAATTGCTGTCTCTATATTACTTAACCTAGCAGGAGTCTGAATTGCTGTCTCTATATAACTTAACCTAGCATGAATGCAGTAGCTTGTAAAAACACTCAAGTTAAAAAAGCCTTAATTTTCCTACATACCTACACATACCGAGCTTTTAGTTGACCTTTGACATTTAGCAATTTCATGATCTAAAAATGTAATAACATTTCTCTGAAAATTGGAGGATCAAAACACACTGTGAAGTAGACATGTCCTTTCAAACCATAGAGTCCAAGTGAATTTATTTGAAAAGTACTTTTAGGGGTTCCGGGAAAGTCCTGTATATGATTTTATTTTATAGACGAAAGTGGAAACATACAAAATGAAGGCCTTGTACGATATGTTACTCCACATGTGGAATGCTCGATTCTTGAAGATCCATTCTATCACGCACGTTACCCATGTTTGTTGTCATTACTGCCCACTGGTCAATTGAAAATTGTCTTTTAGTGGGATGTGCATTAGGATGATAAAATGTGAGCTGTGATATCAAAGTTTTTGCAATTTTATAATTAACTGTTGTTATCACTGTTATTCATTCCTATATAATTTCACTGTTATTCATTCCTATATAATTTCACTGTTATTCATTCCTATATAATTTCAGTTCCTCCTGAAAAAAGGGGAGGGGCCACTTATAGCTAAGGGGAGGGGCCACTTATAGCTAGGGGGATGGGCAATTATTATGGTTAATATACATACGGTAACTACCGGTTTATATGTATGTACAGTAGCTATATATATATATATGTCATCTCACATAAACAATTGATACAGAAGCTACATATACTTGAATTCACACAAAGACAAACCTATACAACACACTAGATAGATCGAGGGCTGCATTCCATACCATATATATAAGTATGTAATATATTTATGATCACTGGCGTATAATCAAATGTATATATATACAATAAGTAATTAAATGCAACAGCAAGCCATAAATACAGTAAATAATTAATAGCAGTTGGTTTTCCTGCGACTTAAGTCAAAAATCAATCTCTGGCTCTAAATTAACACTAGGCTGTACTTTGTACCTGTCATGTAATCAGTATATAGTTCTATTTATTGCCTTAGTATAAGGAAGGAAACATGAATATTTGTTTCCCAGAGGAGAATCACATTTCCCTTGGGTAAAGAATAGTATATCAGAAATACTTCAACTTTCCTTATCACTGTATACACATGTACGTACCATTACCCAGGATCATTAACACTTGAAGTACACAAGTATTTATGTAGTCTGGTCCGGCCAACCTCAGCATCCAGATTCATTCCGTGCCACACTAGAACTCTATCACCTGTATACATTAATTGTACTCTGCTAAGTCCTGCTATACACTCAGCCATCTCTCCCCTACCCCTATTATAAATCCGCCCCCGCCCCCTCTCCCCTACCCCTATTATAAATCCGCCCCACCCCCTCTCCCCTACCCCTATTATAAATCTGCCCCCAACCAATGGCCAGTTCCTTCCCGAATTTTACATATTCAACCACCTGTCTACAATGGTCACTCCACTCTGCCTCCCATGCCTTCATTACCCTGCCCCCTATACTCTGCATCCCATCCCTTCATTACCCCGCCCCCTATACTCTGCCTCCCATCCCGTCATTACCCGGCCCCCTATACTCTGCCTCCCATTCCTTCATTACCCCGCCCCCTATACTCTGCCTCCCACCCCTTCATTTCCCCGCCCCCTATACTCTGCCTCCCATCCCTTCCTTACCCTGCCCCCTATACTCTGCCCCCCATCCCTTCATTCCCCACCCCCTATACTCTGCCTCCCATGCCTTCATTCCCCGGCCCCCTATACTCTGCCTCCCATCCCTTCCTTACCCTGCCCCCTATACTCTGCCCCCCATCCCTTCATTCCCCACCCCCTATACTCTGCCTCCCATGCCTTCATTCCCCCGCCCCCTATACTCTGCCTCCCATCCCTTCATTACCCGACCCCCTATACTCTGCCTCCCATCCCTTCATTACCTCGCCCCCTATACTCTGCCTCCCATCCCTTCATTCCCCCACCCCCTATACTCTGCCTCCCATCCCTTCATTCCCCGGCCCCCTATACTCTGCCTCCCATGCCTTCATTACCCGGCCCCCTATACTCTGCCTCCCATCCCTTCCTTACCCTGCCCCCTATACTCTGCCTCCCATCCCTTCATTACCCCGCCCCCTATACTCTGCCTCCCATCCCTTCATTACCCCGCCCCCTATACTCTGCCTCCCATCCCTTCATTACCCCGCCCCCTATACTCTGCCTCCCATCCCTTCATTACCCCGCCCCCTATACTCTGCCTCCCATCCCTTCATTACCCCGCCCCCTATACTCTGCCTCCCATCCCTTCATTACCCCGCCCCCTATACTCTGCCTCCCATCCCTTCATTACCCCGCCCCCTATACTCTGCCTCCCATCCCTTCATTACCCCGCCCCCTATACTCTGCCTCCCATCCCTTCATTACCCCGCCCCCTATACTCTGCCTCCCATCCCTTCATTACCCCGCCCCCTATACTCTGCCTCCCATCCCTTCATTACCCCGCCCCCTATACTCTGCCTCCCATCCCTTCATTACCCCGCCCCCTATACTCTGCCTCCCATCCCTTCATTACCCCGCCCCCTATACTCTGCCTCCCATCCCTTCATTACCCCGCCCCCTATACTCTGCCTCCCATCCCTTCATTACCCCGCCCCCTATACTCTGCCTCCCATCCCTTCATTACCCCGCCCCCTATACTCTGCCTCCCATCCCTTCATTACCCCGCCCCCTATACTCTGCCTCCCATCCCTTCATTACCCCGCCCCCTATACTCTGCCTCCCATCCCTTCATTACCCCGCCCCCTATACTCTGCCTCCCATCCCTTCATTACCCCGTCCCCTATACTCTGCCTCCCATGCCTTCATTACCTCGCCCCCTATACTCTGCCTCCCATCCCTTCATTACCTCGCCCCCTATACTCTGCCTCCCATCCCTTCATTACCCCGCCCCCTATACTCTGCCTCCCATCCCTTCATTACCCCGTCCCCTATACTCTGCCTCCCATGCCTTCATTACCTCGCCCCCTATACTCTGCCTCCCATCCCTTCATTACCTCGCCCCCTATACTCTGCCTCCCATCCCTTCATTACCCCGCCTCCTATACTCTGCCTTTCATGCCTTCATTACCCCGCCCCCTATTACTCTGCCACCAATCCCTTGGGAGATGGGGGAGGAGGCTTGGTGACAATGGCCACTGTGTAGAAGCAGACTATAGAGGGCGGGGTAATGAAGGGATGGGAGGCAGAGTATAGGGGGCGGGGTAATGTGGCCTTTGTCCCCAACCTCCTCCCCCCATATCACCTCACGATTCTGTTTCATCCCCTTAGTTTATGTTTCTGGACCCCTACTCTACTGTCAACCCCCCTCCACCCGAGGAATGTTCCCCACACTTTGACATTCTATTCTGTTCCCTCTACACTTTGTCCCATCTCAGTGTGAACAAGTGAATGTTTTATGATCAAATGGTCACAAGAAATTTGGATGATAAGGTCACTGAATTCAGGTGAGTGTCTTCCAGTTTCTTTGGTCAGTTATGTAAAACAAACACATACAAGCCGATCATCAAAACTGATTCTTGAAAAGTTGGTATTGTGAACTATATGATGTTATACTAAAAGACAAATCTTTTCAGGGGAGGCTATGCCAGTGCCAGTAAAGACTTTAAGGCCTCCGATCTTGATGTTGATGTAACAGGCAGAAGTTATATGATCACAGGGGCCAACAGTGGCATAGGGAAGTGTACCGCTGTGGCCATTGCAAAAAAAGGTACATTTATATATGTGTGTAGTGAAACTGGCTCGGTCAATCACCCGTGACCAAATGACTCAATTGATTAATAAGTGTCTGTCTTGAGTTCTAAAGTCCCTGGTTTGAAACCTGTTCTGGCAGTGCATTTTTCTTCACCTGTAACAGTGGTGCCTTTGACTGATCCTTGTTTTAACTCATTCACCCTAGGAATTTCATAATGAACTTTTCCAACCTTTGAATTGGAAGAGTTCAAATGTGTCTTCAGGGGTGAATGAGTAAAGTACATTGTGTATGATACTCAAATCCTGGTTGTAAATAGTGTTGTTTTCGGAGATCAGTTGTACATTGTTTAACATCCTATCAACAGTCGACGGGTTTTTTCGGCGGCGAATACCTAGAAAAGGTAGGGAGCTCAAGGAATGTTGCAGAACTGGACGCATGGGCCAATGGCCGGCGTCATCCGTGAGTGAGGTAGCCGAATTGAATAGAGCACTGGAGGTCCCGAGTTCAAATACCTGTTCGGTCATACAAATTTCTTCTCCTGTTACATATATAATCAAACATACCTACATGTATATTTGATATTGTTTTCGTCACTAAATCTGATTTTCGTTAGAATTTTCCCTTACCCAAACCAGATTGTTGCTGATTATTTGCTGATCTAAATGTTGCCCGTCTTTTATCCCCTGTTTTCCACTCTTAGTTACCGGTATATGCTTTGGACAAGGTGTTTGTTACTGTGACGTTACAGAATGCTGTAATACCTGTACAGATAACATGATAAGTTTTGTACGTTTCAGGAGGGACTGTGCACATGGTTTGTCGTGATCCAAAACGTGGGGCAGAAGCTCGGCAGGCAGTTGAGGAAGAGTCACAAAATCAAGTTTGTATAAACCAAAGCTGTTTTGAATCGTCTGCAGTAATCTAGCAAAGAGATATGCCCCAGTCATTTTGACAGCCAGACAACAGTCATTGACGCTTAAACCCTTGAAAGTGGCTTCCTTTTTTGGAAACATGAAACACAGCCCAGTGCGTGTCCTCCATGCTTATCTTAAGGAAAAGAACCTTGACAACGTCTTCGAAAGCTACGATGCATAACTGTTTGATTCATCCCTGGCTAAATTCAGAACCTTGTGTTTTATTTTAAATTTCATTGTTGAAGCATATAATTTAACAGTTATGGGCTTTTGTGCTGGAAAATATGATGTGATATGAACCTGAAAAAGTTGTATTGACGTCGGCTTCACCTCTGTTAATAGAACTTTTTCAGGTTCATATTCACCAGCACAAAAGTCCATAATTGTATAATACTGCACGGTCATTTGAACTTTTATCCATGCAACATAGCGTTTTCAAATAAATGTACCAATTTCATATAGGAAACCTGGGAAAATTATTTCAGTATATGGAAGAAACAAAGCCCATTGGGTGATGAAACTGAAATAGCCAATTCCCAAGTTTTCATAAATCTAGTTTTTAGCTCACCTGGTCTAAAGGACCATGGTGAGCTTATAATAATGCCATACCGCAGCGTCCGTTGTCCGTCCGTCCGTCAACTTTCCTTTAAACTGCTACTAGTCCTGAATAGCCAAGTAGATTTTGACTAAATTTGGTTAGGCCAAGGGGACTCAATTTTGTTTAGATGGTAGGTGTGGCCCCCCTGGGGGCAGGGGGCAGGGGGCGGGGCCCAATAGGGGAAATAGAGGTAAAACCGTTAAAATCCTTCTTCTACCATAGTGATTAAGGGATTTTATCCTAATTTAGGCTGGAGCATCCTTGGGCCAAGGGGACTCAATTTTGTATAATTGGTGGTTATGACCCCCTAGGGGCATAGGGGTGGGGCTCTGTTTGAAGTTTGTTCTCGCTATATCTCAAGTACTTGATGGATCTTTCTGAAATTTCATATGTACTTACAGCACCTACCATGGAGTGTGATATTTTTACTTCATACCAATTATTTTAAACATATTCAGGTGAGTGATACAGGCCCTCTGGGCCTCTTGTTAATGTAAGGATGACATCTACATGTATTTAAAATCACTATTCGTATAATTTCAGAATGTTCAGCTTCACATATTGGATTTGTCGAAACCCAGAGATGTTACCAGGTTTGCTACGAACTTCATTTCATCAGGAAAACCTCTGAATGTCTTGGTAATTCTCTCTAAAATATGTATGCTTCGCTAGTGTTTTAGATTATAGTGTCATTGATGTATGTAGCTGTTATAGTACTCTTTAATCTTATATCCGGTACTGATTAATCATATATCCAGGACATATTATCTTATATCCAGGACTGACTAATCTTAAATCCGGGACTGACTAATCTTAAATCCGGGACTGACTTATCTTATATCCGGGACTGACTTATCTTATATCCTTGACATAATAATCTTATATTCAGGACATAATAATCTTATATCTGGGACATAATAATCTTATATCTGGGACATAATAATCTTATATCTGGGACATAATAATCTTATATCTGGGACATATTCTTAATATTGTGAAGTATTGGATTAAAGTTTGTGCAAGGAGGTAGAGTATTTCTAGGTATAAATTTCCCTTGTAAGTGTTAAGTATATGGCCAGGTGAGGTTACAACTTACATCAGGGACATGGAACAGCTATATTGCCTGTCTTTCGTTCAGGATAATTTTCTTTAAAAACTTTTAAGTCAGGAAGGATTAAAGGAATCATAGAGATCCAAGAGAGGCTGCAAGGATTGTTTCATCAAAATTTGAAATGGAACCTAGAATCCCTTGGCCACACAAACACAATATGGTATAATTAAACATGGTGGGCCTGTAGAGAGTTGATTTCAATGGTTCATTTGTGTTTAAACTTTTAACCAATACTAGACAAATACTAAGAGGATGGAATTGTGATTACCTGGTCATTTCCAGAAATTGTTCTCAAACAGTATTCACCATAATACTTGTAATCTATGAAGTCATGTATGGTATGAAATTTTCATTACATTTCAAAATATTTAAAATCCAGGAAAAATTGCGAACAACACAGCAAATCTGTTCGAAGTGTCAAAAAGATTTGCTTTGTTGTTCTCACTTTTTCCTTTTAACTTACGCACCAGTGTCAACTCTGTCATCTTTGCTAGCCAAGTGTTCGCTTCATATACACTCGCGATCGGAGTGTATACGAAGCGAACACTTGGCTAGCGAAGATGGAACTCTGTATTCTGTCTTTGCGTATTGCAGAGTTATCTTCTCTTGGGAGCAGGTATTGATTGTTACGTTACTTGTTTGTGAGAGTGACGTCATCAATTTTTGAGAAAACGACGTAATTTTCTCACACAAACCAATGACGTAACAATCAATACCTGCTCCCAAGAGAGGATAACTCTGCAATACGTAAAGACGGAATACCTTCGTGGTATCCACGGTACTTTCGACCAAGAAATTGAAGAAATTTCAGCTATCTAGGACGTTGTGTCTCCAACCCCTTCTGTGATTTCAAAACATTTTCAGATCTAGAATAAATTGGCGTTGTGATGAAGATACATGATTATAGCTGTACACAATCATTTAGAATGTTTGTGTCCCATTCACTAGGATGCCTTAAGGTAATAGGATTGTGTCACCATTTCTCAGTAGAATTTCTTTAAATTTTGTAGTTATATTGCTTTAAAATAAAAAAAAAATTCTGCCACAAAAAAAAATATAGGTTGTCAGAGTTTTAAGGATTTTAAATTGAAATTTATGCAAAAAGGAGTGAATTTTGAAAAAAAAATGAAAGACACAATATTTTTACAAAATATAATGTCAATAAAAATGATACTGACATATATTAGTATTGCATAAATGTATATCAATTTAATAAAGGGTGAAATTGTGTAAAATTAATTCTCTATACACGATATAAAAATTGACATTTTATAATAAAACCATATACACATAGTAATTGCAGGTAAGAGTTATCGTTCTTGAAAAACTTCACAGTAGTGAAATAGGTAGCCGGTTTCCTGAAGTACAGAAAAATGGACACATGTGACTCATTGATAAAAAACAACTGAATTAATGCCTGGATTGCTTTGAACTACTTTAATATTGANTCAACTAGGGATGTACTTCCTGTTTCCGTTTATCAATACACTCCAATGACCTTAACATTTCTAGATCAACAATGCTGGCTGCATGGTCAACACAAGGACTGTTAACTCGGAGGATGGACTGGAGAGGAATTTCTCCACCAACACACTAGGTAGGTCATTTCCATATATTGATTCAAACTCCAACTCATATGTTGACCACTACTTTCTAAATTACAGGTGTACATATGTTGACCGCTACTGTCTAAATTACAGGTGTACATATGTTGACCACTGCTTTCTAAATTACAGGCATACACATGTTGACCACTGCTTTCTTAATTACAGGTGTACATATGTTGACCACTACTTTCTAAATTACAGGTGTACATATGTTGACCACTACTTTCTTAATTACAGGTGTACATATGTTGACCGCTACTTTCTAAATTACAGGTGTACATATGTTGACCACTGCTTTCTAAATTACAGGTGTACATATGTTGACCACTTATTTCTAAATTACAGGTGTACATATGTTGACCACTACTTTCTAAATTACAGGTGTACATATGTTGACCGCTACTGTCTAAATTACAGGTGTACATATGTTGACCACTGCTTTCTAAATTACAGGTATACATATGTTGACCACTACTTTCTAAATTACAGGTGTACATATTTTGACCACTACTTTCTAAATTACAGGTGTACATATGTTGACCACTGCTTTCTAAATTACAGGTGTACATATGTTGACCATTACTTTCTGAATTACAGGTGTACATATGTTGACCACTACTTTCTAAATTACAGGTGTACATATGTTGAACACTACTTTCTAAATTACAGGTGTACACATGTTGACCACTACTTCCTAAATTACAGGTGTTCATATGTTGACCACTGCCCTGATACCGTTACTATCTAAACAAGAGAAATCTAGGGTGGTAAGTACAGAAAAGTTATTTGTGTTTGTTACAAATGAAAACTATTATTGCAGTTATCAGTATGAAAAAGTAACTAATATGGCACTTTTTACTTGTAAAATTCAGCCAGTGTATGCACCTGACTTTCAATGAGCGGATTCAGTTTTTATCACAGTGCATGTATACTATTTGTTTTCTTATTATCCTCGAGTCCTAATTATGATTTGATAGAACGGTGCTGATATGTTATTAATGGTGTGTCACACAACACGCCTTCCTCGTTTGGGTTTGATTTCACAATTGGTATTTTATTTCGTTGGTTCGAAAGAACCTATAAACAAGAAATATACATATATATACCTTAAACATAAAACAACAAATATATCTTACACACCATCACACATACATTTTACCGATAATAAAGTTTAGTTATTCATCGTGCTGCGTAGTTAATTTACTTATTATAAATTAATTGAATTATAATAAAATACTTAACGCGACGCACTCACCAGGACGCTGTGAACACAGGACTTCTTCCAATGTAAGTTGGAAGTACAGTATGCAGTGTCTATCATATATATGTCTGACTCCTTATAAGAGTGTCTCCGGTGTCACAAGTTGAATGGTCAAGCAAGTGCTGCGATTGGTCAGTTGACCAAATAACAACTCTGACCAATCAAATGAGTGACGATCATGCAACACACAAAACGAGTACACCAACACACCAACACAATCAATGCATCACAAACATGTGTACTATCAGGTAAAATATATACGCGAACTCTTATGTGTATCTATATATACAGATAATGAACACAATATAAACATCAGGTTACATATTCCCTCTCTCTGGGAAAATATCGCCTGACATTTCAATTATAAAAACATTATACATTTTACCGTAAGCACATATATATAGTACGACCGCCTCACACAGGTTGTTATTATCGTCTGTGTGGGGGATGGGGTGGTATGTATTTTAATGTCGCAGGACACGTGGTGGACTTTCTTTTGTCACTTGTAATTGATTTGGTAGAGGATTTAACTGTTAGTTCAGTCTGCGGTTTGTTTGTTTGTTTGTTTGTTTGTGTGGTTTTACATCCAACTCACTACAGAGTTGTTTAGTTATCCAGCAGGTGAAGAAAAGATAGAATGTAGAATTCTTATCCATTTGAGATGTAACGTACACTGCATTTGATTGGTCAATCAAAGTAATTTGCGACAGTAAAACCACCATCATACTGCCGCAAATTTCATAATACAGTAAGGTTATCCCCTAATAGATATAGCATGAGGTAAAGGGTTTTAATGGGATGAGAATAGAAAGCAGAGCCCTGGGCCTGTATTCATGAAACCATTTTCATGTTCAAGCATGGATTTTGTGCTCAAGCCTAATTTCTTGTTCTGGTTATAACTCAATAAATAAATCTTACTTTGTTAATGACTTGGAAACATTTTGAAGAGACTTAAAGCCAAATTCTGTTTTCAATGTTTACATTTGACTTTTTGATCGTTTGACACGATCTAAGCGAGTTACCAGGAAGTTGGTTTGAACACAGATTCCATGCTTGAGCATGAGAACAATTTCATGAATACCGGGCCCTGGACTGTAAAGATCTAGGTAGGAGTAATTGGACCATGTGGTAGAAGTAATTGGACCATGTTGGGACAATGGGTCCTATATTTATTTCCACACACTAATTTGAATTCCCTTGACTCTATCAAACTCTATAATTTCATGCAGAGTTTCATTGCAAGGTATTGCTCTTCCTCTCAAATTGTCAAATGTCCGGGTCTATTTTACTTTAAAAAGCATTTTCAGCAAAATAACTTGTGCTCCCTTTGAACAGTCAATCTTGAAGTTCATTCAGGGTCTCTGTACCTAGTGCTTCTGTTTGGGCCGTTTCTATAAATAGAAACAGTTTCCACATGTTTAGTTCTTTTACTATTGGTGTCTTACTTATATCTAATGTGATGTTTAATTTAGCGTAATTTTGTCTTGTCAATTACAAATTAATCATCATATAAACTATTATTTATGCATAATGTATGTTTGTGAGAGATATGAATTGGTATCTTTACAAGAAGGTACAGAAAAGAACACAGATTTATTAACATTAAGATTTTACAAATTACAATCAGTCTACAGCATTCAATCAAATACTTCATGCTAGACTTCCCAGTGTATGTTCCTTGCTTGGTAGGATCCCATTTAAGGTATTACTCTATATGGAAAATCTTAAACAGACACATTTCAACTCTGTTAACATATTTTCTAGATAACCGTCACGTCGGGCGGTATGCTGGTACAGAAGCTCAATGGTACAGATCTACAGTCTGAAAAGATGAATCCGTTTGATGGAACAATGGCATACGCCCAGAACAAACGTCAACAGGTTGTTATGACTGAACAGTATGCTAAGAAATACCCAAACATCCATTTCTCCAGCATGCACCCAGGCTGGGCAGATACTCCAGGTAAAATGTGTACCATGTAATTATTTCAAGTAAAGTACAAATTAATGTGTACATTAAAATTTATTTCATAGTTACGGTAAAAATGGAAAAATGGAAATCTTTGCTGTGTGGAATGTTCACATTTGTCCTGTTGAGTAAATTAGCAAGAAAACATCCTTATTCTTCTTCCAGTAATGTGCCGGGCTCCATGCGTGCGGAGCATATTCGCACATATTCCTTATACAAATATTTTTTATAGATAATAGATAAATAGAATAAATAGAGTTCTCATTTCATCAGATTTTATTGACTTTATATATGTCAAATGGATTGGACTTCAGACTAGGCCTATTGAAGTCCTTTCCAAACTTATTTACAAACATTACATATTTTCTGTCATAACAATTCAATATTAAACAGTGCAGGGGAGATAACTCCAATTTAGTTTGTGAAATGAACATTTTACAACTTTTTGTTTAATCATTTTCTGTTTATGTTTTAGATATTAACAATTGAATAAATCATGTATATTTATTGACAACCCATCCTACATAAAATCCAAGGGATACACCTGGCCCAAATAATAAATAGAGTTCAGGACCGTTCTCTTGGAAAATGTCCACACTGCAAACCAGTTTAAAGAATTGTCACTTTTACTGTAACAGTACAGTATAATAGTCTGGAAGCGTAGAAACATTTCAAATTTTATTCCTGCGTAAAGCAAAAATGTGAATATTGTAAAAGTTATTTCTCAGCAAGTGAAAGCAGCTAGAAGGCACAATGAATAATAATGCAAATGTCTCGTCTATTCACAAACTCTTGTGAGCAGTGAGATAATCCAGTAATAGAATTATCAGGGCTCGTATTCATAAAACCGTTCTCATGCTCAAACTCAGATTCTGTGCTCGAGCTCCAGTTCTTGTTCCATGGATAAATAAATAAAATATCACATTTTGTCCGTGATTTGGAAGAACATTGGAGAAACGTTAAGCAGAAAGCTAATTAAAATATTTGAACTTGACATTTTTATCGTGTGACATGATTTTAGCAAGTTACAAGTAATTCGGTTTGAACACAAATGCTTGAGCATGAGAACGGTTTGATGAATACGGGCCCAGGTCTATTACAGTTGACACCCAAGGTACATTGTATAAAATGTAATAGATATGACAAACTCAATGTATAAGAAATACTATGTTACAGCGGTGAGAAACTCTATGCCCGATTTCTACGAGAAAATGAAGACAAGGCTACGAACTCCAGAAGAGGGCGCTGATACTTTGGTGTGGCTGTCGGTGTCGGAATCTGTACCCACGCTTGCCAGTGGACTATTCTTTCAAGGTAGGTCACCTAGCCCCACAACCTATCAGAGGAGCGCTAAAGCATCTTGTTAATTATCAAATAGACGACAAACCAAAGTAATATAAGGTTCAATATCTGGGTTTATTCCTCAACTATAATGATGATACTTTGTTATGTATGGCGTAGGATGGCCAATGACTTCAACCACACGACAGCTAAAAATTGATTAGATTTAGAATGGTTAGCAATCTGTTGTCCAAGTAAGAAACTCCGCCATGTTAAACAAGCTGAAACGAGTGGGGCTAACTAGGGCAGAAATTGACACCTATTCAGGTCAGGTCATTAGACAATGAAAATTGTAAAAAACCACCCATTGATGACCCCGTGTTTGAAATCTTTAGACTGACTGTTTTTGCATATAAAAGAGTGAAATAGACCACTCATGTACATTTCAGTTAGACAGCTTTCCCATCACAAAGTAGGAACTGTTCAAAATCCATCTGAAACTAACAGCTGGATTCTCACCTACATTTCAAATAAATCTCATCAGATAAATTATACTCAGACAGGGGGTTTTCCCTGGGGCTCCCAAGGGGAAACTTGGTAAAAAGAAAATGACAAAAGTATCTGAAAATTTAGACCATTTTTTTTATGAAATCCTTCTTTGTTCACTATATCCCATATTGGCGGACATTGTCTAGGCCTATGACCGGTAAAACGCAGGCTCGTACCTGGTGATAAGCCCACCCCTCGTACCCGGTGATAAGCCCACCCCCTACTTTTGACATGTATTCATGCACAGGCCCCCTGGGCTTATCACCGGTAAATTACGGTACTAGCTTATGGACCCCTTGTTATTTTCATGCCTATATTTAAAGGACTATTTGATGTGTGTATAAATGAATTTCATTATTTACACAGATAGAAAATCAGTATCCACTCACCTACCCCTTGCCTGGACCAAGTCGACAGCAGAAGAGGAGGCAGCTTTCATGAATACACTCAACACCATCTCGCAGCAATTCCTTGTTGACAGCCCAGACTCTTAACGTTTGTAGACATCCCTGACTCCTGTTAACTGTACATAACCAGGCTGTACTAACACTGATAGACAGCCTGGCTCCTGTTAACTGTACATAACCTGGCTGTACTAACACTGATAGACAGCCTGGCTCCCGAGAGTTGCAGGCAGCCGCGAATTCTTTGCTCAATATTTAAAGATAAGTTGTTTATACACACATTTTGGTGAATTCTTATCAGTTGTTTTTATCACCTGTAGAACAATACCCATTTGGGTCTATGTACATTTAACATCGCTAATCAGAGCACTTGTTTAGCGTGTAATATATGTTACAAATAGAACAGGCCATAGATGACTGTACACAGTATTATAGAAACAAATAAAACAGTCTTATTTATTGTTGTGCTGGTCAAGTCAATGTCAGCATAGTTGATCCCACTTTTGACAGAAATTCACTCTAACAGATATTTTTAGAAACCTTAATGTTTAACCGACTCACATTTTATAAATACTACATGCATTAGAGTGTGATAGTGCCCAAGTTCTCACATCAAATCACCATGAAAATCCCAATGGCCCTCTGCATTAGAAATAAAGATAGGTTAGACTTACTGCGTCATTTCCACATTTCCGAGTATGCCTGTGTTTATCTAGCAGATGGCCTGTTACAGGTTTACCAAATCAAGGAAGCGCTTGGAAATCTCACTCATTTTAGTGTTACACGTCATAGCAATCACCAGCGAATAATACACAGTAGCGGCATGGAATGCCTGTTGGCCTACAGGCGTGGTGAATCGCAATGGAAAAAAATGGCCGCTGAAACAAACCTAAGGTGCATCTACTTTGCGCGATCACTATTTTGCACCGTCACACCGCATTGTCGCCTGTTGCTAGGGCGTTGGGAGCGCCCTTCCCCCTTCCATTGATTCAATGTTAAACCGAATGTGACAGTGTGAAATGAACTTGTCTCGACCAATCAGATTACAGGATTTTCACTAGAGGTATAATAGGTCAACTTATTAACCAACCGTGGAAGTTTATAATAGCAATATGGTTTGGAAACATAAATCTACAAAAGAAAGTTCCCACTGATGTTTTCTATTATATGGTATTGAAGTTACATGAAAGTTAGGTAACGTTTACACCTGAATTAGTCACTATAACTTGAAAGGGACATCCCATTAATGCCAAATACATTCCTCTGTGTTTCCTTACTGTAAAAGCTAGTCTATTTTACCCATTTATATGTATACATATATATTTGCTATTTATTACTTTAGTGTATTTTGATTTAGCAATGTGATTGTTAATTTGTTAATTAGCCCCTGATGGGCTTTTAATAGATAGGACATTTATCTAATAACAAATATGACGGATTAATAGAATCTCTCAACCCCTTGGGGATGTGATAGGGGAACCTCAACCCGAGGGGGGAGATGCTTATAATTAAGTTGCCAAACACAAGGCTTTGCTGAGTGTTTTGCAATTTATGAATCTTTCCCAGAGGGTTGAGATTTCTCTGTCTTAACACCAAGGGGGTGAATGATTCTTTTTTTCTCTTACCCTGTTCACCCATTTTGTATCATGTACATAATGTACTGTTAACGTCACTGGCTAAATGCAGGGCTGATGTGACGTTGATTCATTGTTGACGTGACGTCATACAATTGTTATGAATAGGGGAATCCCCCCATCTCAACCCTAGGGTGACACAAATATATATCTCACACTGGGAAAAGTTGTGGATACACCTGTCCAGGGTAAGAGAAAAATCTGTCTACTATTTGCCTGAAAAGATCATAAATCAATTATCTATTTATAATTAATTGACTATTGGTTGTCAATCGTCAATCATTTGTCCAATTGATCGTTGATTCGATCATCATTTGATCCATTTTTGGAGATGATCAATCATCGTAACTGACTTAATTAAAACAAATTGACACAAGTCATGAATTTAGAATTTTAGTTCAGTATTTAGTTCTGTATATTAAATGCCCATCAGAGTTGATAAGTTTTCCAAAAGGAAAATATTATAGACAAGTTCCAACAAATAGGAAATTTGAAACGAGACTGAAGCCATTGATTGGTACTGATGCTGCATGTTATCTGGTTTAAATCTTCATGTTCCTTACAGCATCATCTATGTAAGAGGCTTTTCGGCTTTAAAGAGGAAGATATAATAGTACAGATACGTAAATATGTCCAGATAGCTTAGGTGACTACCTCATTAAGTTAGACATCATTGTATTGGATATTGTATTTAAGTTTAACGGTCAATTCATAATGTGATGGTTAATTTTGAAACAAGGTCATTTTCTAAATTACAGATTTAATTACAGACAGGTATCAGCCTAGCGATTGGTCAGGTTTTTTTATTACCAGAGACCAATCAAACAGCTATCTTTGTGCCTTCAATTTTGCTATGGCATATATATATATATATTCCAGGGGTGCAGCAAGCTAAAGTGAGCTAACCCCTGGAGTATCGAGGATGACAATGTGTACACCCACATTTAAAATGAAATTCAAAGCTTAAGTAATAGAAAAATTAATTAATTATGATCGTCTAAAAATAGAAACGATAACATGTTTTTAAATTTTCAGATGTTGCTAAGTTTTTGAAAATTTTCTTAGCTGTAACACATTTTCATATGTTTGTCAGATAATATGTATTAATTATGTATAGGTCACCTACTTATTGTTGGGGCTCACATTATTACAAGTACATTATTTCTAACTTCATATAAATGTATGAAAATTGCTGCCAAATGATTTCCCCCCATCAGTAGATTCAGAATGCCAAGCCTTGTTGTAATACATATCTCAAGTTGTCAAATCATTTTACAATGTACTACCTTATTTAACTAGTTTCTTTTAAAGAATAATTTTGTATCTAAATTAATATACATCAAATATGAACAAAAATTGGAGGCTCTTATAAATTGTATCCACCTGCAAATATTTATATGGAAAAAATTGTAAATCATATTTGTATCTATGATCCTTATTTACACATTGTTATACATCCATGTCATATATTCCAGTATTACATAATTTATTATCACCCAATGTCAGAATTTAACCAATAGAATAATGTGATATATTGTGACGTCATAGACATGACGTCAAACTTAAGATTGCAATTTAATAAGAGGTATCATCAAGTTTCTTATGAGGTTAATTAATCTGACCTTGAAGTTGTTCTTTTTAGCTTGACAGAACCTCCTAAAATTAAAACTTTATGTTTCATCATATAAACCTTCCATGAAATAGACACTTGTAAAAAATCCTACCGGGTATACATGTATGTGCAAACAGTAAATCCTTGCTATAACGCCGCCATTTGTCCACAGAAATTTTGTCGTTAAAAGGGGTTTGGTGATAAATTAAGGGAAATGATGAAAAGAAAAAGGGTACGTTGGAATATGTCTGCAGAAACGAGGAGGCAAACAAAAAAGGAGGGTTGTACTGTTATTATGAAATACTAGTATTAGTCTACTTTTCTTTTTGGTTGCTGTTTAATGAGGTCATATGTACTATTTATATTAAACCACATTGATATAGAAATCCACGATATGGTACAGTTGTATTTGTCACCTATAGGTAGGAACACTTTACATTTCACTAGTAAATCAGACAATCAGGGGATGTACTATTTTGTTTCTATTTCAATAAAAATTATTCGTTAAGATGCCTCGACTTGTCTTTCTCTTTTTTAGCTCACGTGCCCGAAAGGCAAGTGAGCTTATCTAATGGAGTCGTCCGTCGTCCATAAACTTTTCCTTTAAATGACTTCTTCTAAAGAATGGGCAGGCATAGAGTCATGATATTTGGCTGAAAGCTTCGTTGGTAAATAAGAGCACAATAAAGTTTGAGTATGAAAATGACGTTGGCTTACTTTCAAGGTCACAGGGGTCAAATGTGTCAAATATTTCAAACAACTTCTTCTGAAGAACTGAAAGGTACAGAATCTTAATATTTGGCTGGTGGCGTCCTGGGAAAGGTCCCGACAAATTTTGAGAATGAAAATGACCTTATTGTACTTTCAAGTTCACAGGGGTCAAATATATCAAAAGGTTCAAACGATTTCTTCTGAGGAACTGAAAGGTATAGAATCTTTAAATTCAGATGGTACCTTGTTGGGATGGAGCCCAACAAAGTTTGTGAATGAAAAATGACCTTAACCTATTTTCAAGGTCACAGGAGTCAAATATGTCAAACTGTTCAAACGACTTCTTCTTCAGAACTGAAAGGTATAGAATCTTCATATTTGGCTGGTAGCTTTTCTTTGGTGGACCTTAACAAAGTTTGAGAACGAAAATGACCTTGACCTACTTACAAGGTTATTTATGGGTCAAAAGCCCTCAGGCTGATACGGCCGGGCCGGGCCGGGTAGGCTTTGGAAATGGTCATATGCATGATCGCCTATTCGTGTTAAGTCGTTTGTGCACATTCAGAATATTACCTAATTACTTACACCACACGAAAACTAAATTATAATTCATCATTTTGAATTTAATGTCATTGGTACAGCTAATGCATTTATTATAATGCAGAAAGGGAGACTGCTAATAAGACTCGCACAACTAAATCAGCCTATCAGCAAGTGTAGTTCCTATCTGAAATAAGTCCCGGCTAATCACTGGGCCACTGAAGGAGTTTAATAAGGAACTGATTTTTAGGTATTTAACTTTTTAAAAATATATACCGGTACTTTTGATATATTTCCATGTCTGTGTGCGGATTTGCACAGGGGCAAAATGTCTGGGGGCGTTTCTGTTTTGGGTCACCGGTCTTATTTGTACAAATGTAGAAGGTTACATGCTCGCATTCGCCGAACATCCAATGCTAGCAGTCCATTGTGTGGTAAGAAAAAGAGAAGTAACTATTTGATAATGTCCAAAATACATTGTACTATGTACGCCAACAGTAACAGTTCGTAGAAGACGAGTGTGACTTTCCTGTAGATATAATATAACCCAAACTTTATTCAAGTTAGTGCAGATTAGGTGTAGCAAACAATTTAATTAAAATCTATATTAGACCTGAAGATCTCATTTAAAGAGAGATCTTACCGAGATTTGTTACATTACAGCTTGTATACTTTCTGACAGAGCTACATAAATGCACATTATCTTACTTCTTACTATTGTTAGATAATCTAAGTCTGTGCTTTTGTTTTTACATACTTTTCGTTATTCCTATCTTTCCCACATTTTCCCCCCTATACATGTATTACGTGTTTGACATATTGACGAAATGGTCATTGCATGAATACGTAGACCTTGTTTTCGTGTCGTATTCAGTATAATGTATGTGTGTGTTTCTAGATTAATTTCAACCCGTCATTGAAGGCAAAATATCATTTTGTATGAGGCAATGCACACAAAAAGCCTAAATCAACTTCCTCATCTTAATTTGTGAAACGCCCTGATCCTTATGTCCAATGTACCATTCACTCTAATTTCAATTCGACACTGAATTTCGACATTTGTAAATTCAGTTACTACTAGGTCAAGGATATAGTAGCTTTATGTGTTAAGAGGGGAGACTACTCCGATAGCCATAACGGGAGGATCTGTTATGGGCCATCTGAAAGCTAGGCTGAAAGATTTTATGCACTTGATCATATTGTTTTTATCCCTTCAGACGGAATATATATTTGTTTGTTCTTCAGAAACTGACAGTGGCCAGTGGCATGTAAATGTTGTATAGGTCACCAGCCCTAATTTTCTCTGGTGTCAACACCAGACTTGAAATTCTGATAGATAAATGTCTGGTAGCTAACACAGGGACCTGATAATTTGTTACAGCTATATTTGGACCTAAACTAAGGTGTTCAGAGTAATTTTATACGTTTGAGGGGGTTAGGTCGACTTTCGGTAAAAATGCCACCGCAATAATTTTTACCAGAAGGGTGGAAAGCTCTCGATGTTGAAAATCGACCCACCTAACTTTCTTGCATCAAAAACAACATTTCTGGTTGATGTACGAAATGATGCTTAGTACCGTTGGAAAGATGGATATGTTTACTTGTTAAAACCTCCTATATGCTCGTAAAATGTATTCTCCTCGTATATGTAATCATCGGGGTGGCATTTTTACCGAAAGTCGATCTAAACCCCTAAAGCGTATAGAATTGCTCTGAACACCTTATTTTAGGTCCAAATATAGCTGTAACAAATCCCCAAGTCCCTGTGGAAGCTAATATGTCACCTGCTATATATCTAACACCTTATCTTTATTCCTAATATCAACCTTAGACTTTCATATTAGCATGAGGGCTGATATAGGAATGACATGTATTTATCATACATTGCTCATTGTGAATAGTTACTAGACAAGACCGAATTACTACCATTAACACATTTAAACATACTGAAAATTATGATGTGTATTTTGACTTTTGATTTGGAAGCAGCTAGGTGATGATGATTTGGAATATTTTGTCCCGGAAGTAGAACATATGTGATGTGTGTCAGATAAGTATGGACCTGGCTGAGCTATCGTATATATCAACGCATGCATCGTCTTAAATAGTTCTATTTGCACTGTTGAACTGTCACACTAAATAGTGATCCATGTCACTATTTACTGGGACTTCCTTTCGATATCTCTCGGACCGCATCATTCAGTACTTTACTTTCAATCGGAACTCCTCGGATGTGTGTCAAACAATACTGTGGCGGGAGTCTTGAAATCCATCATCACGAAGGCGCCTCGTGTAGATATACTAGATATACTAGTAAGCAGGTAAGTAAATTGTCATCAGACTAGTACTGTTTTTCACCTTATGAAATGATGCATTTGAAAATAACAATACAGTTCATTCAATATTGTTTATAAAATATAACCACACATAGATCTAGTTTTGCGAGTCCAGAATATCGATGGGTGAATTTTACCTGATTTAATATTAGGTTTGAAATGTTTGATTGATTGGTGAGACTGTTTAGCCCGACTTGTGATTTGGATATCTATATACAACTGTATATCTAATGTATAAGTCCATGGTTTAGCAGACAAACCTTTTTAACTAACTTTATAAGTCAATTTTATATATATATATATGTACTACAACAACGAAAACGAAAACGCCCCAAAAAAGGATATACTTCATATCCAGCAAGAGATGAGAAGGGAAGGATGATTCACCATTCACTGAAGAAAAGAAAAAATGGTAGATAGAATGTAAAATACATCTCCTAAAATTGTAAAAAAATATTTGTAAAATACTAAGAGCTTGCTCTCAGTAAAGTACTTAATACTTTGTCTGGCCAAATTAGAGTGAACTTGTAAATATTGGATGAGTTTGTTGATAATAATATATAGGACACTTTTGTTTTGTTTTTTGTTTTGCATCAAATGAAGAGTTACCACATAAAGTAGTAAAGTAAAAAATAAGAGGAGGAAGGGGGGGGGGGGGGGGGGGGGGGGGGGGGATGTGTATACTGGAATCAACTTGTCTGTCTGTCAGTTCCAAGCTTACAACTCTGGGGTAAAGGAGTTAAGGAATGAGCCTAAAAAACAAAGGAAGAACAAAGGAAACAATAATTAACTCCTAAATTTCTTTCATGATTAGGAGTTAACTTAAATGCCACGATATTTTCCCAATTGAAAAGCCACTGGTGGCTGTAAAATGGTGGTAACAAAAACACTAGTTAGGGACCATGTATGTGTAGATGTGTATGCAGATTTTTTTTAATAGAAATTTTGGTTGCTATGGTAACCAGGACACTGAACACAGTTTTTTTTGTGATGGCCCGTAATATCTTATGAGTTCTCAGTTTTATTGAAACTTGGTCAAGTGTCATAAATTACCAGTGATAATTTGACGTATCAGCAGGTGTTTCCAGAACGTTGACTATTGAAACATAATGGAGGTTCCTGATTGGTCAAAATTGAGGTATTGTCTAATTTAGCTGCAAATTGGTATATATATATATATAAGGTTTTAGGGATAGCAAATATATTGGTACAATTTTCCAAAATGTTGGTTGTCAAGGTAACCAAAAGAAGACCTATGATTGGACAAACATTTTCAAAACTACTACTCTTAACCTTGTGAGCCAAATTCAGTGGCACTACTACGGGAATATTAAGGACCATATGTAGATGTACACGCGTTTTGTTTTTTGTTGAAATTTTGTTAGTGGTAATCTGGTCACTATATATACACAGGTTTTGGTATAAAGGCCCATCAGCTCATGTAGCCCTTAGATTAATTTTGTCCAAATTTGGCCAGATGGTGTAACATTAACAAAGAAGAAATGAACGGTGTAAAAACTGCTCACCATCATCTGCTACAAGCGATATTTTGCAAATGATGAGATGCGGGGGAGGGGTGGTATTAGTTAGCCATTAATTGGCTTAAAATTCTAGTTTGCTTGTGTTTTTTGAGTTCATGCAGTTTTGATTTACATGTATGTTTACAGCAAAAGGCCATTCATCAAAACCAGCAAGTACTACAGAAATCCAAGAGTTTGGTGAATTGTGAGTGACAGGACACTCTGATATTTGGCCGGTAGCATGCTGGGATGAAGGGCTACCAAGTTTGTTCAAATGAATGACCTTGACCAACTTTCAAGGTCACAGGGGTCAAATGTTGTAAAATCTTCAAGCGACTTCTTCTCAATAACCAAAAGGTCCAGGGTACTGATATTGGGCCTCTAGCATGCTGGGATGAACGGCTACCAAGTTTGTTTAAATGAATGACATTGACCCACTTTCAAGGTCACTGGAGTCAGATGTCTTAAAATCTTCAAACAACTTCTTCTCAATAACCAAAAGGCCCCGGGTACTGATATTGGGCCTCTAGCATGCTGGGATGAAGGGCTACCAAGTTTGTTCAAATGAATGATCTTGATCAACTTTCAAGGTCACATGGGTCAAATGTCGTAAAATTTTCATACAACTTCTTCTCAATAACCAAAAGCCCCAGGGTACTGATATTGGGCCTGTAGCATGCTGGGATGAAGGACTATCAAGTTTGTTCAACTGAATGACCTTGACCAACTTTCAAGATCACAGGGGTCAAATGTCGTAAAATCTTCAAGCGACTTCATTTCAATAAGCAAAAGGGCCAGGGTACTCAGAATTTGGGCCTGTAGCATGCTGGGATGAAGGACTACCATGTTAGTTCAAATGAATGACCTTGATCCACTTTCAACCTAATGTCCTTGTTCGACAATCAAGGTCAGAGGCATCATATGTTTAATTCTTTTAATAGGTTCTTATGAAATCTTAAGACTACAAGTGTTAGATTAATAACAGGTGAGCGATGCAGGCCCGTTGGGCCTCTTGTACTTATAATCCTGTGAATGTCTCACAATCTGTAGTGTAGACATTTTACTTATAATCCTGTGAATGTCACACAATGTGTAGTTGATTTGTAATCATGATAAGTTTCTTTTGTCTTCAATTTCCATGTCATTGTCATGGTAACTAGATATACTAGTTGTTTGGTTACAGGTGTCACACACTGCTGTACTGTAGTAGTTTGACATTGCGACCACCAAACACTGCCCACAGGACACCCTCCCTGTCTATACCTACAGTCGATGTAAAGTATGTGTCTGTGTGTATGACCCTGAGGAACTCACCACGTCCACTGATGAGTAGGACCCTGTAGTTGTAGTCCCCTATGATCAGGTTCCCAACACTGTCATACACCACACCACAGGGGTAAAATGGTCCACCTCCTGTTTGTGGTGTTGGGTTATATGTACTGGGGATGTCACCTCTATATACAAACAGCTCCTTGAAATCAGTGTCCATCACAACAACATGTTCATTTCCATCACCACCATCACTTTCAATACTGAAATCAGCGACTGCCACATTGTGAGTGACAGGACACTCTGAGATCCTGTGTGGTGTACACGCTAATGGTTTCCCAGTCCCTTTAGCCATTGTAGTACACACCATTTTACCATCTGTGGTAAATTTGGAGATGTGTTTGGTCAACCCTACAATGACATGGTTACTGGCTGTAATACATATACACAAGGGATCCTCCTTGGTACTGAATCTGTGTGTCTGTCGTCCTGATACCAGCTCCATGATGTTGTTTTTATTATCACAGACCCACAGTGTGTGTGTGGTGGGTGACAGACTGATATCATTGATACAGACATAATTGTGTGTGATCTCCTGTATTACTTTACCCTTCCTGTCCAGGAGAGTTAATGTATTACTGTCCTTGGTCCACACCTGACCATCAGTGGTGGGACATATATAATCAATCTGACATGGAGGCCTCCACTCCTCCACTACCTTGGTCTGTGGCAGTAGTTTGTATGTTGTCACTGCTTTCTTCACTTTTGCTCCTGACCGTTGTTGTTGTGTAGAGGGTTGTCCCCGATCATCAGATGTTGTGACTGACCGATCCTGGTCAGTTAAAGTTTGACCTTGACCTGAGGTGATAACTTTTCCCAAGGCATTTTTCAAGTGATCTTGAGGACTTTCATTTGGAGTGAAGTTGGCAGTACCCAGGACAGGTTTTACAGGGAGACTGTATGTAGGAGAATGGATCTCACAATACGCATCATAAATCTGTATGTGTGAACCACGCTGGAGAGCTGCTTTACATTCTTGAACTTGTTGTTTGAGTTGCTTCTCGTACATCTCGAGGTCCTGTTTGTATTTCTTTATCAGTTTGGTATTATCCTCTTCCATTTTGTGGTAAAGAGAGAGTGTCTGTGCTGTAAGCATGTCCAGCGCTTGTTTTAATTTATCTGTTTGCATCTTTAACTTTTGTGACAGCTTCTCAAAAGTACTGGTGTTGTCTTTAAGCAGGGTATCTGTAGTGGTGATGTATTTTCCAATTTGTACAAGGTCATTTTTTTCTCTTCTGTCTATGAAGTTTTTAATGTCTGGTTCTTTCTGAGAAGTGATTTCACTTAGCTCGCAAACTTGATGGATTTTGTGAATAGAAGAAAGGCATTTTAGACAAACCAGTTCCTGACATTTTTCACAAAACATTTCTAGTTCTCTCCCCTTGTGTTGAATACATGTCGTTTGACCTTTAATACGGAGATGAATTTGGCTTTTAGGGGTTGCCATCTTGATAAAAAGCCTTGAAGATGTTTGTTGTTATTGTATAAATATATTGTTATCAGTAAATATTCACAAATAAGAGTTTGTCATGTAAAGGAAAACAAACTTGACTTATAACTGTCCCATCCAGTGGTATATGTTTTTTAAACTTATAGCAATGTAAAAACACTGTAGAATAACTACCTCACGATCACTGATGTCACAGGGTTACTGTGATGATGAATCCAAGTTTTCCATTCCACACTTCTCAATGTTCACTTACATTGTCCATATTTATCCAGCCTGGAATTCACAATCACATGATTAACTTCCCGCTAGCTTTGCTGATAAATCTGTCACTTTCCTGCTGACATTGTAAAAGTTTGATCAAAACTTAGTCAAATGTTCGGCTGAATTTGACAATGCTGCTGACTAGTTAGTAATATCAACAGATCTCTGCTCTGGATACGCCCATCACTGCAGTAATGTGTAGATCTACTTGTTTAGACCTGCATTTGTACATAGTAAATAACTTCCCTGTTGAGCGTGGTTACCGACAGACAAACAATGATAATAAAGACATAGACGGTGTAGTAGGTCAGTGGAAGTTGTGTTTATAAACCGTAGCATTTACATATCTGGCGTGTATTGTCTAAAATGTATGTGTATTCAGTAATGTGATACCTGTACCTAAGGTAGATATATCTATATATTGGGTAATAAGACATACCTGTACTGTGGGTAGATATACCTGTATATTGGGCAATAAGACATACCTGTGCTGTAGGTAGATATAACTGCGTATTGGGTAATAAGACATTCCTGTACTGTAGGTAGATTTACCTGTATATTGGGTAATAAGACATACTTGTACTGTAGGTAGATTTACCTGTATATTGGGTAATAAGACATTCCTGTACTGTGGGTATATATACCTGTGTATTAGGTAATAAGACATACCTGTACTGTGGGTAGATATAACTGTGTATTGGGTATTTACTGATGACATACCTGTACTGTAGGTAGATATACCTGTGTGTTGGGTAATAAGACATACCTGTACTGTATGTAGATATACATGTGTATTGGGTAATAAGCCATACCTGTACTGTGGGTAGATATACCTGTATATTGGGTAATAAGACATACCTGTACTGTAGGTAGATATACATGTGTATTGGGTCATAAGACATACCTGTACTGTGGGTAGATATACCTGTATATTGGGTAATAAGACATACCTGTACTGTGGGTAGATATACCTGTGTATTAGGTAATAAGACATACCTGTACTTTGGGTAGATATACCTGTGTATTGGGTATTTACTGATGACATACCTGTACTGTAGGTAGATATACCTGTGTATTAGGTAATAAGACATACCTGTACTGTGGGTAGATATATCTGTGTATTGGGTTTTAAGACATACCTGTGATGTAGGTAGGTATAACTGTGTATTGGGTAATACGACATACCTGTGTTGTAGGTAGGTATACCTGTGTATTGGGTAATAAGACATACCTGTACTGTAGGTAGATATACCTTTGTATTGGGTAATAAGACATACCTGTACTGTAGGTAGACATACCTGTGTATTCGGTAATAAGACATACCTGTACTGTGGGTAGATATACCTTTGTATTGTGTAATAAGTCATACCTGTACTGTAGGTAGAAATACCTGTGTATTGGGTAATACGACATACCTGTACTGTAGGTAGATATAACTGTGTATTGGGTAATAAGACATACCTGTACTGTGGGTAGATATAACTGTGTATTGGGTAATAGGACATACCTGTACTGTAGGTAGATATACCTGTGTATTGGGTAATACGACATACCTGTACTGTGGGTAGATATAACTGTGTATTGGGTAATAAGACATACCCGTGTCACGGTGGCCAAACTCATTAACAGTTTGTCCAGTAATTTAGTATTTAAAATGATGAATTTTAAATACGATGTGAAATGAGTACATGTTAATACTTGCGCTGTGTATCGTGTGTAATGGTATATATGTCTGTGTCAGGTAATGTACCTGTGTTATAATTGTGGCGTATGAGAGGTGGGTGCAAGTATTGGCCAAGGGTGACACTTTGACCTTTGACCCGGTCCATGCAGGTGAAAAGCCTCACCCTGGGCTCTACCCAGGTGAGGTAATTCACTCTGTACCAACCCTTGGCTTGGATAAGACGTATGGGAATTGCCTGTGTGCGTTACCGCCACAGTGCAAGGTAAGTCTTACATTAAAAATAATATAAAACAAACTATTACTTCTATTTAAATAAAGTACCGTGGTTTTATAATCTATTACATTTGAATTATATTGCCGTCAAATATCTGAGGCTATAAGTTAAACTATTAATTAGGGTACACATAGTCAGGTATTATAATATCATGTCATAGGGTTAAAATTAGGGTGTAATTATGTTATGTAAGTTTCTGAAATAAAATAGAATAATTATTTACATGTAATGTCTGAATATTAAATACTTTATGGTATTAATATATGTGGATATAGTTATACGTTTACACGTGTCCGTATATGTACACTTAGACATTGTATTTTTATTTCAGGGAACCGTCTCCGTTCATGGTGTGAATGTTTAAATAAACTGTCATCTGTGTGTGCATATGTCTTTGGGTTATTGTATCTATATATTCGCACAAGAAGAAACCCACACATATACTCGTGTGACACCTGCTTGGGAGAATATTTAATCTGTATTAATACCTGGAATGGAGGTCTATCATGTTTGTTCAAAAGACTGAAACAGACACACTTTCAATGTTACAGGGGCCAAATGTGATCATGTTTCTTTCTCTATCACTCTTTTTAGGTCACTTGAGACGAAGTAGTGGAGGCTCCTGATTGGTTAAAATTGAGGTATTGTCTGATTTAGCTGCAAATTGGTATATAAAGGTTTTAGGGATTGGCAAATATATTGCTACTATTTTCCAAAATTTTGGTTGTCATTTGGTTGCCAAGGTAACCAAATGAAGACATATGAATGGACATACATTTTCCGAACTTCTATTAACTTTGTGAGCCAAATTCAGCGACACTACACGTGGATATTAGGGACCATATATATATATAAGTAGATGTACATGCGTTTTGTTTTTTGTTAAAATTTTGTTTATGGTAATCACATTAAATCTGGTCATTATACACAGGTTTGGTATAAAGGCCCATTAATTCATGTAGCCCTTAGATTTATTTTGTTCAAATTTGGCCAGATGGTGTAACATCAACAAAGCAGAAATTTATGAACAGTGTAAATATATAATAATTTACATTTTTTTTCAACATATTTATGATTTTAATTGGGTAACTGACCTGATTTTTCATCTGCACTATCAGTTATGATATATACATGTATCGTTAAACTTGATACTCCTCACCATTGTCTGATACAAGTGTATATTTTGCAAATGATGTGTTGCGGGGGAGGGGTGGTATTAATTAGCCAATGGCTAATTAATACCACCCCTCCTCCGCAACACATCATTTGCAAAATTTGTGTTTGTTAAGTTCATGCAGTTTTGCTTTATGACAGAAATCCAAGATTGTGGCGATGAGAAAATCGAATCAGGTATGAATTATGTCTCAACAACCAAAGGGTCTAGACATTAATATATATATATATATGACATGATTTTTTTTTAAATATTCATTTTAATATTAAGGCTGTTTGACAGATTTCTTTCTTTTTCCTTTAATAGGCAATTCAAATTGCCCTCATCTGTGGTCCATTTTGTAAACAATCTTGTTTTTCTTGAGCAATTCTCAAACTAGGTATGTATAGGTTCCCCTTAGTCCCTAGTTTTGCCCAATCAGTTTTGAACTTGATCTGGGGGGAAATTTGGCAGTTGAAGCTTATCACTATTTCTTCTGAATTACTGGAAAGATATTTCTCAACCTTGAAATCAGTTTTACCCATCCAATTTTTGAATGCGATTTGTGGGGGGAACACACCCATCATTTAATAATATCATCCAGACTTCATGGTCCAGTGACTCTGGAAATTAGCTGGGAATCTGGACTTAAAGATTTGTGTTTAGCTCAGTTTCTCAAAAAGTGTACATGTTATTCCAACCAACCCTGGAATGTGGCTGCATTGCATGTAGTATGGACATCTCAACACATCCTATAGATTGTACATGAGTACAAGGTTCAGGGTTGTAAGGTCAAGGTCAACGTTATTATTTTCAGAAAATCTCAGTTTCATTTTTTATAATTCTTGTTAGCCAAAATACTAACATTACAATTTCTAGTATTATTAAATTACCAAAATCTATTACAAGCTAATTGTATACTTTCCAAATTAGCACCAAAGAGTGCTGTCTTTATTAATCATTACAGTGTAATAGCCTGTGGGGTCCGGTACGGAACATTTATTGCTTTAGCAATACTCAGTATGATTGGGTGTTTTTTTGTTTTTTTAGTGCAAAAACCTAAAGAAAAGATATCAGAGGTGATGATCAATTTAGAAATAAATTCTGGTCATCAGCCATCACAGTGGGAATGGGAACAAAGAAAGGAAAGAGAGTCTCAAAACTGGGAGAAGTGTAGTCCTTTTTTTTTTTTGAGGCATACATTAGGAGATTTTCCCCTTCAAATAATGTATCAAAGGAATGTTCTGAGTGTGACCAACATGCTGTTATTCGGTAAGATGCAAAATTAACAGAACTCGAGAGAAAGTCTGATTTGTGTAAGAAACTTTACGCATTATAAAATCTAAAAATTGTCAATGTTGGGATTTTTTTCTCTTGCACACCAACTCTAATCATTCACATTATGAAAACTAGAATATAAATAAACAGCCTAAGAGTGAAGAGTCATTCCAAGTAACAACTGTTACAGTTGTCACACTAAACTCAGCAGAGAAACAGTCTGAATGACACGATGGTTTTAGTTCCTAATCACCTGTGTAACACACGACTGACAGAGCTAACTGTGGGACCCCTCAAAAATAAACTACCCAGTAGTTTAAAAATGTTTTCAGATATGCTGTATCCAT